TTAAGCTGAGAGTTGATGTATACCCACCGCCAATTGATGGTAATTTCTGAAACTATGTGCTGTCGCTGATTGAAATTTCTATACTTAAGGAAGTCCAGAAGTTGACAATTGAACCATCCTTCTCTCAGTGACGGAGGTGGACATTTCATATTTCAAAGTCGTTTTATGGGATTGATAGACATTCCAACAAAATAATTTATAAACGCTTATTTTGCATATGGCAACCGGTTAAGAACTTTAACTTGACTCGCGGTCATTGACTGTGTAGATGGGCCAGCCAATAGATCGTTGTGGTCCTTCGTCATGTGCCAGCCAACCGAACAAATTACCGTCTCACTGTCTAACATGGATCCTTGAATGCTTGCGCCAAGATGGATTCAACAAAGAGGGCGTGATAGAGTCATTTGGTGTTTGATTACTGTACACAAATAAATCCAATGGTGGCTACACTTTAAGCACTTTCTTAGATGCTTAACAACATAATAGTTGTAACAACTTCGAATAGGCAGCGATATGCTTCTTTTCGCTAAGGGAGCTAGCAATGGACTTGTAACGCCTGCATTTGACATCTGCTTTAGGCTCAGAAAAAACGATGCCCACTTACGTACTGTCCATAGATGACAGTCGTCAACAACCCAAAATGGATAAATGCTTTCTAATTCTCGATCAGCAATCAAAGTAGTAATTTTTACCAAACTAGCCACCTGATAGCTGGCTTTGTTGATTTCAGCACGTGGCTGATGTTAACAAATGGCGCATCGCTGGAAACGAGATCGTAGGGGCTGTTGCAACATCATCTTGCATACCAAATATGCTCATCTTGCTGCTTACAGCGAACTACTGGAGGTAGTGTGTTCAAAAGTCGACTAGCGCGTGAGGTCAGGAAAGTAAAAGGCAGGAATGTTGAAGGCTGACATCTAAGACAATGATCTCCGTGTCTACTTTTGCACAAAACTTAGGCGATGTAGAAAACAATGCGAAAGCAATCAATTAGAACCTAGAATCCCATACTAGTAAGTCATTTCCAACTAAGTGGCTATCTAAGCTGTTTGATACAAGGTCAGGTAGAGGCGGATGTTTTACTGAATGTCGCAAGAGAACATAAAAGCAACTAACATTTAAGCAACTGTATGCCAAAAGCTTGATATCGCAAAATCGCATCGTTTCTCTTCATGCAAAGACAGCGGATAGCTCCAGATCCAAAATCGTCGTGAAATTAAATTCTTGAATTACCGCGCGACTTATATTGGGAAGTTCATTATCCGCATAAATGCACATTTGGTTAGTAAGAGGTGAGAGAGCTTATACCCTCGTCGTAGCAACATAGAAAGAATATATTATTTTGAAAAGTAGATATATTATGAAGTGAAGTACACAGTTCCACCATTGAAGGATGAAATGTCGGCTCATAAGCAGAAAAGTAATAGATTTTTATGTCTGAGATGAAAGAAAGTGTTCATCTCCAGAGATTTAGTGCGAAATCTACCTACTCTCATTCATATGGTTACACGCGCTACTTAAGCAGGTCCACTACTGGATCTCAGAATTTCCTTCTATCCATGAATCATCGAGCCGCATTGCTCACATCGTTTTGGTACCAATAGAAACTGGTAAGTTCAATCAAAGACGTCAGGCTAAACTTTTACTCCGGATGAGTTGAATATGCAGCTTGGGAAAGATTTTACCGCTTGATGCGAATGAATGGAAGTGACTAACCTTTTTACAGGAGTCGGAAAGCATTACTGCGAAACATCAGGCATAGAAAGAAAATCATATGAAAAAGCGTGCGGCATAGAAATATATATATATATATATATATATATATAATGTTTGAGTTGTATAAACAGAAAACAAAAG